ACATCAGTCCCTAACCCTCAAGGGGTGTACAATCTAAGGTCCCTAACTCACATCCATACATACACATACTAGGGCCAATTTAGACAGGAGCCAATTAACCTACCAGCATGTCTTTGAAGTGTGGGAGGAAACCGGAGTACCTGGAGGAAACCCACACAGGCAGAACATGCAAACTCCAGACGGGTGGGTGCCATGGCTAGGATTCGAACCAACAACCCTAGTACTGCCAGGCGGAAGTGATAACCATTTAACCACTGTGCTGCCCAATGAAAAGGCAAATCTAAACTTTGAGTTATGCAGGCCATAGACGGTTCGTTTTTCGTCGGAAGAACGAAACATCGGTCGTTCTCTTGCCACCAATGATTGCAAAAATTGCCCGTTTTTCACAAATTTTCCAGCATGACCGATAAATGAAATGAGGTGGAACCACAAAAATCAGCCGATGCCATTGCCCCACTAACAGTGCGAAAAGCGGCCGATTATTCTTTGGACGAAAAATCGGCCAGATGAACGAACTGTCTATGGCCTGCATTAATACAGAACAGGATGAGAGGGGACATTGTTGAATGGGGGTGCTAGTTCTGGTGACAACTGTGTAAGGGGCAATTTCGTTCATGTTTAACTATGCACTACTCTATCCATTATGAAAGAAAATATTTTGTCTTACTTTACAACACAAGTCTGTGTGTTTTTATTTTTGTTAAAATAGACCCCCAATAGGTGTTCAAAATAAAACTGCAGCTCAGGCTTCAACGCTCACCTTCAACCAAGAGCTGGTCACCCACAGAAATTCTTTTTCATCACAAGATGTCCTCAGTCTTCCAGATTAAATGAAGCACAGCATAAGAGTGGGGAGATACTGTGAGTGTAAAGCCCTGGTGCCCAACCTGCAGCCTAAAGACTGAATGCAGCATTTTGATATATGATGTGTGTGACCCTCGAACCCCAGCAGTTTGTAGGTAGGTATACTCTGCTTCCTCCACTGACACCCAGCTGAAGCAGTATCACAGCCTGGAGCGGAAGCCAGGTGAAATTTAATTTCTCTGTGTGGTTTCATGGATCCTGGAGGCAACGTTCTGGTTGGCTACACTCAGGGGCGGACTGACAACTCATGGGGCCCCCGGGCAATAGGGGATCATGGGGCCCCTGTGTCCTTGCCCAAACTCAAAAAAGCCTATGAAAAAGGTACCAGGGACATCTCATGAGGCACCCTACTGACCCCGGGCCCTCAGGGCAGTGCCCGAGTTTCCAAATGCTCAGTCCGCCCCTGGCTACACTGCATCCAGGTGACCTCGGCAGTCACTTTTGTGTCAGCAGAGTTTTATAAGTCCCTGCCCCCAGGTTTGGCATGCATTTTGCAAAGTGGCTACAGCACGGAAATAGCACCCGGCTGTCAGGGAAAATGATAGCAGCAGAGAAAGGTTCCAGACAAGTAGGGACAGGCTAGGGACTTGCAATCCTGTACTGCAGCCTCCCCTTTTGGATCGGACCAGCAAGGAAATATTTCACCCTCTGAAGACAGACACTGTCGGTGCATCTTTACATGCTGCTTCTCTGCCCTGAACTAAACTGTGAGTATTACCCTAAGCAGCGCGCTCTTGCTGGGGTTGTTTGTAATTGCCATTTTCTGCAATACAAGTTATGAGTTTATCTGCGAACAGTCTCAGTGTCTTTAATGCTGCATCTACCCACAAGTTTGTACTGGGAACATTGATTAGGGTGATAGCATTGATCTCTACTTGCCTCAAATATATTCCCAAATTCATATTGTCTTCTGCCGCATATCCCCAGCCAAAAATGTAGGAGGTCCACACTTTCTGGCCTCATTTCCTCTATTATATCTGCAGTTTCTGACGGACCTCTCAAGCATTGAATATACTGAACATTATTTGTTTTCCTTTGGTGATGTCAAGGGACACATTTAACCTCCCTAGCGGTAATCCCGAGTGTAGCTCGGGGTAAAATTTCTATACCAAAAGTGGTAACCCCGAGCTACACTCGGGCTTACCATGCGGCGTTGCTCTGGGGGTCCCTGCAGCACTTACCTTGTCCTTCGCTCCCGCAGTGTCCCCAGCTGCAGCGTCCCCGCCCATCTCCTCCAGCTGATGCCGGCATCCGGCTTCTGTGTTCCGGTTCCTGTGACGTCGGGACGTCTGGGCACCGGAACCGGCGGGAAATTTGAAATTTTTAAAAAATGTCATTTTTGCTGTCATTGCTGTTTCAATGCATTTCACATACATTTTGTCCCTAGTGCTTTGTCCTGTGCCCTGCCTGCATTTTGAATGTTCTTCCTGCCTGGAAACTTAGAAAAGTCCATGGCGTCCAAAAAGTGTCCCTTTACGTCAAAAGCGGTTTTAGAACAGCGATAGTAAATCAGAACCACTTGCAGAATTGAGTGATAATGATTTGTGGGGAAATTCGTCATCAGACACTGAAAACGATTTTGCGACTTTGCTCAGCGATGTGCGAATTTGCCTCTGTATTTCAAATTTCAGTGTTTTTGGTTTGATTATATTATTGAATTACATTTATGATTATTATATTATTATTTTTTATGATTATTTATTAAATTATAATTTATGATTTCGTGTTTCAAATTTTATCATATCCGAGATGTTTAATAGACTCTTGTTCACACAGATTTCAGTGAGTTATTACTAAAAATTACAGCCTACAATAAAAAACTACATATTTCCATGCAAACAAATGGTACCGCTTTCAGCACAAAAAATTGGAAAGAATCATACCGCCAAGGAGGTTAAGGGCCCCCTTTAGCTCATAAGTTGACAGACACTGGTGTAGAGCATCATAACCCTAGTCCCTGAGAAGACATCACCAGAGCGCTCTTCACACTTTACATTTTACAGTATAATGATGCAGAGACATTTTTATGGAAAAAAGAGGACCTTGCAAGTCAAGTGACCAGCTTAAAAGGGTAAGTATACTGTATATAAAAAAGAAACCATACAGTGGAAGGAAGGGGTCCCCAGGGAGACTGGGCGGACACTAGGGTCAGTGAGCTGAGCTTGGAGTTGGGCTTTAATAAATTCAACCTATTTTATTTAGTTTTTTGTTAAAATCTGCACTGGGCACTATTAAAATCCAGCACACAGTCGTTTGTGTGCTTTTTACATACTGCACACCACACTTTAAAATGTAGATGTGGTATGTGTAGGATGTGTGATATAGCTAAGCATGGAGAAAGGAAAGGGAAGGAACATGTGTCAGATTGCCCATCTGGCATTGACTAAGAAGGGACTCCTTAGGCCTCCTGGAAAGAAAACATCCATGCATATTCAGGAACACACCAGCATGTGGCTGTCTTCACCAAAAGAAAATCTCTATACAGCCCACAAGTCCTTACTATTCACCAGTCTCTTCAGCTGCTTGTTAAATGGCAAAAGAAATATTCTAGTAAGAGTGAAAAAAATTATTTCTAGAAAGTACACACCCATTCCAGCTTTTGGAGTAAAGGAAAGACAAAGAGGAAAGAGGGGGAGTATTTGATTTAAACCAGCTGCAAGTAATTCAGTAAGCTGCAGAGCAGGAACACAAAAAAGGGGTTTGTTACACTGCTTCATAAGGTGAATTACCAGGAGTGCTGACCAGCTATAAATTATTTGTTTAATGACAGAACGTGGGCAGACTCAAACGCATTTATTCAGCTGGGAGCAGGAAAGCATTTTGATTTTTTTTTTTTTCTTTACAGTACTTTTTGTTTTTGCAGTTGAAGGTATGAGAAACATAATGATTAGCAGGCTGTTTAATTTTATTGAAAAATAAATACTTTGTGGGTAATTCAGAGAACCTGAAAATATGACTAACATCTCTGACAGGGCATTGACCTATTCCTTTCACCCAGTGCAAACAGTGCTTATTGCCAGTTTCTAGGATATAGTCCAAATCTATGTTATTTTAGGGCCTTTCTGCTTTGATTCACTAAAGTTTATTGCTAATTGAGATCGTGCTTGTAAAGCTGGTCATAGATGGATCAAATCTCAGTCGGTTCAGCAGGGACCGGCCGAGATTTGATCCATCTATGGTCAGTCTGATTTTTTTTATGCAATCACTGCCAGGAGCTATAGCCACCAGCGGTGATCATTGTGTTCTACCGGTGGTGAAGGCTCCTAGCTGGCAGAACGCAATAGCACTGTGGCAGTGATTCCCCCATCAACAAAGAAAATGAAAGAAAATTGCATACTCTATGGGCTGCTTGACTGTGTTGAAGGGAAACATTGAGCAACCACGGGTGGAAGGAAAGAACATTTCTTGATTCCCCCATTAGCACAGTCAGACATATTTCAACCTATAGCTACCAATATGAGTTAAAGCGATACTAAAGGTATATTTTTTTTTTTAAATAGGTTTCAGGCTGAATTTACAGTTTAAAATATTTTTTTATTTTTTTATGTGAGATATTGTGGTACATTTTTTTTATAGTAGTATTTTAAATATTTATTTGCAGGCAAATGGCTCTGTGGGCTCCAATATCGATATTTATCTGGAAAATTTCCAATACTTTTGTTGAAAAAAGCCAGTGGATTACAAAGCTCAGAAGCTAAAACTTACACACATCCTAATTTATCATCCTTTCTCTCTTGCTTTCTTATGTCTATAAAGACTGTAAAACATTTCAAATACAGAACAAAAGTCCTAAATCAAACAGCTGCTGCTACTCGATAGGTACTCAGAAAGACCATAATGCTCTGTAACATCAGTGTCATGTCTTTGCTCTGCTTGAAAATGTTATTTTTAAAAGAAAGCTTTCATATAATAAAAATAAAAACAGTTTAAAATATATGATCTTAAAACGTAAATTAAATTGACTTTAATCATTATAGTTTTCTTTTAGGCTAGGTTTACACCTAGCTGTTAAGATGCGGAGTGTTAAAGCACACATAAATGTGCACTAGGTAGGTAGCCTATTTAAAATTAATGAGCTGGCATGCACCTCTAATGAGTTGCTCCTATTTTGCTGTTATGTAGTGCACCTCTGTCAGCAAGGTGCGTTGGGGTGCTATTCAGAATGACGGCATCATTCAAAATGAATGACATCCACCACGGATCACTCTTCAGAGGGCAATGCATGTATAGAGGAACCTTTTGGGTTCTGTGCAATATCTAAACCTACTAAAAAGAAATTAACAAATGTTTAATCCCTTGTTAGCCCCTAATTATTCTTTATTAACCCCTTTATCATGTTCTTCCCTTAGTTTTATTTTTTTGCAATTTCTTTTCTATTGTTCAAATGTAAACTTGAAATAAATTGCATGTGTTTCTTTTGTAGCACTTTCAGAAACAAAATTATAGTGCATTTAAAAAAAAAGGGACAAATTACACAATAAAACTTTGAATGAGTCCTAAGATACCTTGGTTGCCAGATAAATTAATGGATTTTGGTAATCATTATGTTCTTGAAATTCTGGTTCTTTTTCTCATGCTTTTTTTGACTAAATTACAGTAATCCAACCATATGACAATACCTCCCCTATCCTATTAGGTTTCCCATGAACCATAAAATAGTCATTTTAGGGCTATTATTTTTGTGTTGGCCAAGCTAATGTACACATGGTGTGCAAACGTAATTCGTTTCAGCTTCTATGGGGGTGCATTTTGACATATTTGCTTTCAGTGCCACAAGACCTTGTCCCCGCACTGATGTCAGGGATATCAATCTGGCTCATTCCACTTAAGTGTTTTTATTCTGCTATTAAGCTTATCACTGACATTAAAGTAAGCCCTTACATATACCCACTGAAGTGTTCAGCCGCAGATGAAACAAATCCTCATACATTAGTTTCACCTGATTGTCTGCAGCCCTCTTTCCTCTACAGCCATTCAAAGTACAGAATTTAGACATAATTTGTAAGCTCCAGATGCAGGAGACCTGTAACTGTATAGGATTATAACTTTTTTTTTTTCCATGGTTGAATTGGATGGACTTTTGTCTTTTTTCAGCCAGACTAACTATGTAACTATATGTAACCTGAGACCTAGGTGGAGGAAATGGACTCACACCCCTCTACACAGTCTCAAAGGGAAACATGCACAGCTAAAGCTGTCAATCACCTGCTGTGTGCTGGATGGGGGGCAGGGTCATCTTCTGACTTTGTCTGGTGTCAGCATAGACCAGCCTTTCTCAACCTTTTCAACGCAAAGGAACCCTTGACATAGCTTTCCAGTCTCTGGGAACCCTTGCTAAAAATGACTATATCTACAATTCATGATACATTAGTGTGATAGTCAGCAATAAGAATGCTCTTTACACTTGTGATCATTGGGAAGAATTACCAACTTACAGATTGCAAAAAAGATCAATGGTGTCAGTGGGAACTTACCTGAGAGGCAAAAATTGCTGATTGCTCAAGGAACCCCTAACAACCTCTAGAGGAACCCTAGGCTTCCATGGAACCCTGGTTGAGAAACCCTGGGATAGACTGTCAGAAGTGACTCATGCATATAGCAGCGGAAAGAGAGAGCAGACAGAAAGCACACTAGGTGCTTTGGGTAGAGGCAAGTACACAAGATAGAAGGATACACTTTTTTTTTCATTTTTCGTTTCACGGGTTTACAACCACTTTAAGAAAAGAGTTGCTTACTTGTCCCTAAGAAGGCTCTGTTTCTTCATTATGTAAATTAATAGAATTTCCTATTAATCAGAATAGCAGCTAAACACATAAACAGACATCTACCATCTGGATGGAATAGGTCCGATTGATGTCTGCACAATGTTTCCAGAAACAATGAATAAGGGTTTGCATGTAATGCATATATGTTATACCGTCTCTATCAATAACTCAATTATATGATTCAGTTTGACTGACAAGTGAAGTTTGGCTCACATAAATGTATTGTAAAATCATCCAAGTATGTAAACTGGCTGACTGGATCCCATCAAAATGCAATAAATTGTGCCATTCTGTGATATCCAGTGGCAAGCTAGGTTGCTTCTGTCATCTAAGCAATACCACTCAAAACAAAATATTTCCAGCCACATACTGGCTGTTATGGAGCCTGTGGGCAAATGGAAGACCAGTGCAGGTTTCTCATGGCATTCATGTGTTAATTTAAACTGTACTTTTTTTGGGAATGAGTTATAAAGAGTACTATTGATGTTCCCATGTGCTCATTTCCTTGGGAGACGGTGGATATATGTACAAAAGCAACTCCAGATAAAAAGGCTCCTCCTAGAATTCTAACTATACTCTCAAAAAGTGCTGACTGAAAGATCTATACAGGCATAGCCCTCCTTTGGGGATGGGGATATCCTTCCCAATTAGTATATTGTGCTAAACCTGTAGGTAAATAAGAGAAAGAAAGGTTAATAATAGGACATATGTGAGATGGGGAAACAGCTCTCATTGTTTGAACACTGATTGTGTGGAAGTAAATTAATGTTTTGACTGACATTCTGCGGTTTAGCAACAAGATCTCACTGTTTTTCTAACACAGCCTCAGACTGCATTGATATTTTTATATTCATGAAGAGGTGGACTTTTCACACAGAGTTGGAGTGAACAGGAAGAGGAGACTGCAGCCATGTTTTGAACGGTGCTGAATGAAGGGGCCGTGTGAGCTGAGAATCCGATGACATCCAGGTGTGGGAGCTTCCCTCGGTAACAAGAGCTGCGGCTAAGTGAAGCTCATCGTGTCCAAGACCCTGATCCTGTTCAGAGAAAAGAAGATTGCTGCCAGTAATGCTGATGAGAGCAGAGGAACAATGCAGCATACACTGCAATATCGCAAGCTTGTTGGAGAGACATTTGTTCTGTTCAGAGTCACCAGCGGATGCAAAGCAGACCCGGGTTGGTAAGATCGTGCACGCACCTCATTTCGGTGTTGGCCTATAGACTGAGTCCAGGCCTATAGTTAGTTAGTTAGTTAGGGTCTCTGTTTGTGTCAGGCCACAAGTGTTGTTACCGATTATTGGAAGGACTCCACAACTTAAAGTGACATTTCACATTGGAGAGCTGATAAAATCCTACAAACTCAAGCCAGACTGGTGTTTTGCTCAGAAGGAATACTCAGGCACGTGCTACAGGACCAGTTATGGGAGGGGGAATACTGTAGATTTGTGTAAGATTGTAAGCTGTTGTGCTGCACCGCAGGCTAGCCCATACCATACACCCATACACTGATTCCTGCCCTCTTAGGGTAATAACGGGTAAGGTGTGGCAGCTTAATTGTGCCCACCAGTAGGTAAATTACTTCACTTTCTACCTTCATCCATCAGGAGGCGCCGTGCTGTGCAGCACAAGGGTCTCAGCCTTTGGGCTGGGTGTATGTAAATTTATTGTATGTTCCCAGCATTTGTGGTAGTGTTTACTTGCCACATCTAAGTAAAATTCTGTTGTGGCAAAAGCTGGTGTTGGGGTTGTTTTTCTCGTTCGTGACTTTACTGTATCCTGGGGAGCTCACCCCGGTACACGGCTTACACATACATCCAATGTGCACATAGGTAATATCAGCAAAGGCCCAACAGGAGTTCTAGTGGAATTGTGAACATATACCCGGGTGTATATAGTTATTAATAAAGATACCTCCAGATGAATGTTGCAGCAAAGTTCAGTTACAGGGGCCTCTGAGGATGATCACGATGCTGCATCTGTCTTTGTGTCGGAGACCTGAAGATCAGGGATGATGGGGAGATCCTTCAACCTTTGTCCAACTAATAGTGACTCGTTTTTTATGCAATTAGACCTCTAACTACCAGAAGTGGCCGTTGGATGTCTAAGTTAGCTCTAACCTATCCCGGCATTTGAGCCCTGAGCTTAAACTAGATATAGAATCCCAAACCAGAAAAGGCAGAGTTCACTAAAATAACAGCATCTGCATATAAACTTTATTGCCTTAAGCAAATTCACCTACTAATTGTCAGGACCATGCAATGCTCCTGTTCCATGGCAGCTGCTGGTCTCATTCCAGCATCCTGGTTTTGGCTGAGCTGCACTCTTCCTGTATGGCTGTCCACCTGCAGGGTGATTGGTGTAAGCACAGCCTCCAGGTGAAGACCAAACCTGTTTAAAGCCTGACAAGCTTTTAGTATCATCTTGTGATGTTTGATCCCCCACTTGTGATGCTGTTTTCATCACGTGCTTCAAGCTCCTTGTTTGTCAGTTTTTGTTCCTGTTCCTTGACCTTTGCCTTCGCCTGATCCCAGATTTTCCTGCTAGTTTGGATTTCCTTGTCATCAACCTAGGATTGGATTTTGGCTACTTTCTGAACTCTGCCTGCCTTTTGACCATGGATTTGACCCTGACTACTGTCTGGATGTTGCGTGCCTTAAACCCGGACCGCCATTGGACCACTCTGCAAGCAAGCACATGTTGCTGTGCTTAGCTTGCATCTGCCCGGTGTGGTGCCCAGGCACTATAGAATTGCATATAAGACCTGGGGGCAACTGAGTAGCAGTAGCCTGCTTATCCTATGGGAAAAGGGGCTGCTATAGATGAAGAACACAGAGCCAGCTATAGTGCCTGACCACCAATGCTTGGGGTTGATGTGACACTAATAGAATGGAAGGTGACCAATAGACACATCTAGCTATCTGGCACAGTGTATGTGAGATATTAACAATAGGACAGAGCTATGTCTGTCACAAGGATTTACACAATCAAGAAGATATGGTCAGCTGTAGTTAAGCTGTTAGAACAGAGGAAAAACTTACCTAATAGTCTCTGCTTCTGGTCTGGGTGAAAATACAGCAGTAGTAGCAGCCCGTGTGTGTATGAGGTCATATGGCTCCGTTCTCTGTCTCTCTCTCCACTTCCCTCTTCTAGGGTTTCTGACACAGACACACAGAGAAAAGAAGCGCTGTGCATAAATCATAAGAGAAGAGGAGTTCTTAGAACGCATTTGCCTTGGAGACCAATGGAGGGACACAGTGGGAATAGGCACTAGAGCAGCATTTCCAGGAGTAGAAGCAGACTCTGGGCAGGACAGAAGAGAACAAGAAGGCGCTTCTAAGTGCAGTACATCCACATATTTATTGGTGAAAATGGTTAAAACCACTTACAAAATATGATAAGGCTCAGGCATGTGAAAACGTCAATGCAGGGCTCCGGTCACTGTGTCCTGGAGCTCATTGTGCCATCCAGCAGCAGCAGGGGGAGCTCAGGTGCATTTCC